TTGGACACCCCTGATCTACAGTAATTCCATATTTGTCCAATCATTAGTGCCTGCTGTGGAATATTGTAAACATAAGGCCACATAGGAATGGTTTTGATTATATTATCATCATTCAACTTCCTTTTTAAAAACTTGCCCTGCCCCCATCTATTCTCTGCCTCCTGAGTCTCAGCTGGGTCCTCTTTGGTTGCCCTGAATAGGAGAACGGAGCTGGAAAGCAGGTTAGTGGGATGGGGAGGGAATGGGGATTTTACAGTATCCTTCCCCTGCCACACCCACCAAGCCACACCCACAGAACCGGTAGTAAAAATTTTTTGAATCCCACCACTGCTTTGGGACAATCTAACAAGCCACACCCACAGAACCGGTAGTAAAATTTTTTTGAATCCCACCACTGCTTTGGGACAATCTAAAACAATTAACCCATGGAACAAATTTCCTCTAGAAGTTGTGAGGCTTTTAAGAAGAGACTGGGTTGTCCATTTGTCCAAAATAGTATAGGGGCTGGGCTACAAAACCTCACAAGGTCCCTTCCAACTCTGTTATGTTGTTAAAGGATGTGCTGTTCCGTTGGTTAAAGCTATTTCACCCACCAAGAGCTGACCTCTATAATTATTATTTCTTGGCAACATCTCCAAAAAAAAAATAATAAAAAAAAATCTACCTGATTCATCGGCGGTGGAGACTTCTCAGCTTCGTGGAGCCTAAAGATAGAACCAAAAACTCAGATCACCAAAGGGAGTCAACAGCAAATTTCACACGGTGACTTTTTAAAAACGAAATTAGAAACAACACCGAAAACAATAAATCCAAAGTGGCCCAGATTTCATATAGGTCTCCATCTTGATCGTTGGCAGCTGCTTGCAAAGGACACGTGATATATATATATATATATAGGAACCTTGGTCTTTTGGGGGTTTCGTAATCTGATTCGGAGGGGGAGGCCAAGCAGCTGGCAGGAAGTGGGAGTGTGACTCCATTGGATGTGGAAGAAACTGGGGAAGGGCAAAATCCGGCTGGGCAGAGCAGGGGAGAAGTAGAACAAGGCAGAGGGAGTTCAGAGGAAGACCCAGGCCTGTCCCCTCTTCATCCTAGAGCACGCAGGGAGGAACGGAGAAGGGAGCAATGTGAGTTTGCGTGGCTTATGGGGGAGGAAAGGGCCCTGATTCCCTTCATTAGCTGCAGCCGGGAAGACAGTGTATAACAAAAGGCAAGCTGCCTGCAGCAAGCTGTTGGGAGCAAATGTGAATTTATCTGATCTTGTTGTGGGTTAACTGGGTTCCTGGCGTCTTCCCAACTGTATGAGTTTTGCCGTGCTTTCAAATCTGAAATTCCTTCTCCTGCTCTGTCAAACTAATTTGTTCAGTTTGGTTTGTTTGGATTTTAAGTTACAGTTTGCGTGTATTTCGTTTTGGACTGAATTTTCTACAGTTAAAGGCTGGGAGAGTTTTTTTTCTCCAGCCGAAGGTAACCAGGACATTGGGGCCAAAGTTGGAGATAATAAAGGGGCTCTTCTTACTTATTTGACTGTGTTGCCTTTGCACCACGCCCCTTTGGGTCATCAAACAGATAGTCCTTGACTTGGAACAATTCCTTTAGTGACCGAAGTTAGAATAGCACTGAAAAATGTGACTTTATGAGTTTTTCACTCTTGATCACCCACCATTGAACAAAATGGAGACACTTGGCAACTGACTCATATTTATGATGGTAGCTATGTCCTAGGATGATGTTGATCAACTCCTGAGACCTTCTGGCAAGCCAGTGGGGAAGCCAGATTTGCTTAACAACTGTGTTACTAACTGAACAACTGCTGTGATTCACAAGGTCGCAAAATGGGGGCAAAACTCAATAAACGTCTCACTTAACGGCAAAGGTTGTGATCGTAAGTTGAGGGCTTATCTGTATTCTGTGCAGAAAAATGGAAGGATACAGGTAGCCCTCAAAATTACGACTGCAATTGAGCCAGTTATTAAGTGAAGGGACAGTTATTAAGTGAATTCTGGGAGTTGAAGTCTACGCATCTTCAAGAGTGAGCTTCAGCCATGAGCAAGGCTGTCTGGGGAATTCTGGGAATTGAAGTCCACACCTTTTCAAGCTGCCACGGTTGAGAAGCACTGCTTCAAATTCTCAGATTCCAAGGAACTGATCATAATCTATGGGATATCGTCATTGGAAAGGCTGGATTTACCCTCATCCCTTCGTTCTAGATTAATTCAGAGCAGAAATGGTCCACTGAAGCCACCCTCAGATTAATAGAGTTGGGAAGGGACCTTGTAGGTCATCTAGTCCAACCCACCTGCCCAAGACCATTTCAGACAGACAGCAGTCCCAGTCTCTTCTTGAAAGCCTCCAGTGATGAAGCTCCCACAACTTCTGAAGGCAACTTCTGTTCCATGGGTTGAAAGATCTCTTTAGGTGCTTTAGAAAATAATTTTACCCCTTTCTCTCTGTGGCATCCCTTTGAATATTGGAAGATTGCTATCCTGTCTCCCCTGGTCCTTCTCTTCCCTAGACAAGCCAGGCCCAGTTCCTGCAACCGTTCGTCGTATGTTTTAGCCTCCATCATCCTGGTTGCTCTTCTCTGCACTCTTTCTAGAGTCTCCACATCTTTTTGGTGACCAAAACTGCATGCAGTACTCTAGGTGTGGTCTTACTAAGGCTTTATAGAGTGGTATTAGTACCTCCCTTGATCTTGATTGTATCCCTCTGTTAATGCAATTTAGGATTGCGTTGGCTTTTTTGGCGGCTGCTGCTGCACACGGCTGGCTCCCATTTAGCTGGTTGTCCACTAAGACTCCAAGATCCCTCTCCCAGTTCCTGCTATTGAGCCTGGTTTCACCCAGTCTATCTGTGTCCTTTGGGTTTTTCTTGCCTAAGTGTAAGACTTTACTTTTTTCTACATTGAATTTCATTTTGTTAGATAGGGCCCAGGGTTCTAGTCTGTCAAGAACCATCCATCCCTCCGAGCATTGCTGAACTACGCCTCCCACCATACTTCAGTAATTTGCATTTTGGCTGCTGCTGTCTGGGAATACAGTTCAGCAATACATAAATGCTAGAGGTTCCTTAACCTTGGATTTACAAGGAGAGATATCAGGGTTTAAGTTCCCCTCCAGCCGTTTTTCAACAGAAATCTTTAGACCAGCCATATAACAGGAACTTCTGTGAAATTTTTCTGAGTCATCTACCACAAGAGATTGGTATATGGTTAATGTGAAATATGGAGATGGAAAAAATATTATTGTTTTATGTTAAAGCCCATATTTTAACTCAACTACATTTTCATGTTGACTGCGGCTATTAGGTTTTTTTTTTTTAAAATCTGCATATATTTTTTATTGATGACTTTCTTCTTTACTTTATTATGCATTTTGCTATTCATGTGAAAACACAAGGAACAGATTTAATATTAATCAATAAGTAAATATGTGTTTGCTACAAAGCCTTTAGCGACATAAATTCATAGACCCAGCTAGGTCCCTGGAAAACATATTCAGGCCCTTAATAAAAGACCTGACATAAATTAAGTAATTAAACTTTATGGTTTGGATCAATGGGTTTGGATGCAATCATTTCTTTTTAAGGGCTGTATGTATCTCAGCTCTGCTCTCACTCAAGGTATCTGGCATTGCAAAAGGTTAATACAATCATAAATATACCCAGCACGTAATTAAAATGGAGGCCAAAAGAATAAAACACAGTTAATGAGAATTCCTGCTGAATGGGGATATTTTACCAGCTGGGGTGGCTAGGAAATACAGCAAGAGTTTCTGGGAAGGCAGTGGAGGCTTCTGGGAATCGTAGTTCCAAGTTTTTCTGGAAGATGGCTAGGTTGGAGAAAATGGATAATGCAACCTCCAAAAATATAGAGAACAATCTAAAACCAGTGTTTCTCAAACTTTGCAACTTTAAGAGACGTGAATTTCAGCTCCCAGAATTCCCCAGCCAGCCTGGGGAATTCTGGGAGCTGAAGTCCATGCCTCTGAAAGTTACAAAGTTTGAGAAACATTAGACATTTTTTGAAAAAGTGGAACATTAGATCTTTTTCCTAGCTGAGTTATTTTAGCCACTGCTGTTGTGATTCTGAAATTGTTCCAACTATTTCTATTATGTGCTGGGTTTATTTGCTTTTATTACGGTTGTGCTGTGATTGGATCACAATTCTGCCGGTTTTAATGAACACGTCGCAGGTTTAAGAGCATGGTTGAGGGGGAATTTCTGACTGATTTTTGTGTTATGGCTGTTTCAATTCTCCCTTTGTCTCAGAAGTAAATCTAAATTGTCGAACAAGCAAAAAATAATAATGGGGGGACTATTTCCCTCTGCCAGATGTTTCCTAGGGCAGCGGTCGCCAACTGGTGGGCCACAAGAGAATTTTGGTGGGCCGCAGAGAAATCTCACCCCCAGAGCATCCCCACAAAGCAATTAATCCAGGCTGCGCAGAAACACAAGGCTGCACCGCCCGCATGGCCCGCGGGGACCCTCCCCGCCCACTCACTCCTTACCCGGCAAACCTGCCTGCTAAATTGCTATTTTTCCTTTTTCTGACCATCAGCTGTTCTGCTGTGCCGGGAGATTTGGATTAGCTAGGAAGCAGGAAATGGTTGGATTTCTTGCTTTCTAGATCTTCTTTCGATCTTCGGCTCTGCTTTTAAGCACAGCCGAACCTCCCTTAGGACTGAAGGTTCTATTATTCAGTGCAGACTCACGGCAAGCAAATTTGAGAGACCGAGCTAGTCGATGGCAGATAGATAGATCACTTAATGTTTCCGTGAGCAACTCAATCTGCCTGCCTTTGCCTGCTTTTGGGTAAAAGTTGCACTGTTTTTAATAAAAAAATTCAATATTTACATACATGGTGTGTTGTGAGTTAATTTTATGAGTTTGCTTGCAAGCAAATTTTATGTGACAGACTGAGCTAACCAATGGCAGACAGATTTCTGAATGAATCTGTGATTCTGTGAGCAACTCAATCTGCCTGCTTTGCCTGATTTTGGGTAAAAGTTGCTCTTTTTATAAAAAATTCAATATTTATATTAATATTTATAATATTTACATACAAGCCATGCCCAGCCAGTCACATGACCACCAAGCCACACCCACAAATTAGGCCACACTCACAGAACCGGTTAGTGGTCCCTGGGATTTAAAATTATGAGTTTGATGGTCCCTGAGGTCCAAAAGGTTGGCGACCCCTGCCCTAGGGGTTTGGGGCCATCTAGATCTGGGTTTCGCCTCTTTCAGGAAATTTAAATCTTACTCCAATGTTTCTAGCGTTGATGTTAGGAATGTAAGTCACCTAACAGCTATTTGGGTTGGAAATATATAAACCAGAATAGACATTTTAATATTGTATCTTTAAGAAAATGCAAAACTGTAATTAGGTGTGGTTTCTCAAACGGCCATAAGATGGCGCCAGAAACCTGGATTGTTTAGTCTTAGTCCCAGTGAAATCTCAGTGGGTCTCTGTTTCCTTCTGTTGGAGAGTATTGCCGTTCCTCCATTTTTCCTTCTAATTGACTGATATTCTTGGATTTGATGTAAGTCTGTTACTGAACTGTTTTTGACACTGGACTTTGTTATTGGATTATTCTTGGACTAAAAACTGACTGATTTAACCTGTGAATGACTTTTGACTTATTTTGAACTTTGCTTAAACCTTTATTGAAAGTAAAAAAACTACAGTTACTGCACAGTGTATCTGTGTGCTGTGTGTGTATTATTCAAACACTACTCTTAAATACGTCTCCCTGTATGCGCTCATTCTCCTAACGGGGAATTACCTCAACAGTTGATACCCTAACATTTGCTAAGTAAAAACATGGCCCCAAATTTAACTTCACATCAGAAATAATGTCAGGCATTGTTGCTCAATCTTGGCATCTTTAAGATGGGTAGACTTCAACTCCCAGAATTCCCCAGACAACATGCTTTAAGATGGATGGACTCAGGGGTGGGATTCAAAAATCCCAGTAAATGGTTCGCTGCCCAGTTGCTGGGTGGGCGTGGCCTACTGGTACTTCCGGGAGGAGCATTTTTTGCCTTCCCAAGGGTCCAGAGGCTTCCCTGGGCCTCTGGGAGGGTGAAAATGGCCTCCCCTGGGCTCTGGAGGTCCTCTGGAAGCAGGCCCATTTCCGGACTTCCTGAAGGCCCGTTTTCCCTCTTGCCAGAGCCTCTGCGCACACCCTGCACTTACCTGCATCCAAAACAGGCTGCATGGAGACTCCTGGGAGGAAAGGGGAGGGGTGGGCGGGTCCAGCCGGTTGGTTCAAATACTGGTTCAGTGAACCAGATGCAAATTTAACATCTGGTTCACCTGAACCGGGAGAATTCCACCTCTCGGTGGACTTCAACTCCCAAATTTCCCCAGACAGCATGCTTTAAGATGGCTGGACTTCAACTCCCAGAGTTCCCTAGCAAGCAAGTTTTAATATAGGTGGACTTCAACTCCTAGAATTCACCAGAC